AAATTTTAAAGACTTGTCAAATGTGCTAAAGACACCAAAGGTGTTTTTTACAAACTATATTCAGAGTAAGGCACTCTGACTAGGGAAGATGGTATAATATTAACTGATCAAAGGAAGGAAGAGAAAGAAAGAAAAAAGGAAAATAGAACCACTGAACTCTTATTATTTTTAACTTCTGTCTTTTCCAGCAGATAACAATTAGAATTCACAATGAAAGAGCAAAACATATACTAGGGGGCATAAGAAGCCCAAGATAAGTGAGATGTCAGTCCCAGATTTCCAGTCCCAAGTGAATTATATTCCCCAGAGTCTCCCTTTGTCCACAGGATCATGTCTTTACTTCTGAACCTGACATGCAAGCACATCTACAATCTGACCCCCACTTTGTCAGTCTATATAAGTTACTCTTCTTAGTGGTAAGATTTGAGTTTCAAACTGGCTTAAGTCACAAAGAGGAAAAGATTATTTATTGTATGGCAGGATATGGAAATAAAGACAGAAGCTATGTAGCTGGACTTCTCAGGAGCCCAGGAAAAGCTCAGTGACTCAACCCAATGGGAAGAACAAGACATGTAGCATAGTCTCACCTCTGGAGATGAAAACTGGGATGTCACCCGAGACCAAGGAGAGTTCCAGCAGCCGTGTTACCTGGTCAGCTCATTACAGGCTAACATCACCACTACTGTGATTCAGCTTCTCTTTTCTCCTCTTCTCTGCTCTCTGCTTTCACTTCTGCTCTGCAACAAGCTACCCAGAACCCTGTCTCTATGGTCCACATTCCCAGAAAATCCACCCAGCATGTTGCCCCTGTCCCTGTTCAGTAAGAGCTCCTAGACCAGGACACCTTGGAAGTCACTGGCTGCATATTGATGGGCTGTCCTCATGGGACGGGTTTTACCTCTGATCTCATCAGCAGTGGCTAGACATGCGGCAGGTCGCATGGTGCCACCATAGTCACCCACTAGAAATCATTTCAGACTGCTCTCAGGAGGGGCCATGGGCATGGTTGGGTCTGTTTCATGAGTCAAATCTGTTCATTAGTTTTCATTACAATCCCAAAGAACATCATGCCAAAGAATGTTCAGACTACCGCACAGTTGCACTCATTTTACATGCTAGCAAGATCATGCTCAAAATCATCTAAGCTTGGCTTCAACAGTACATAAACCAAGAACTTCCAGATGTACAAACTGGATTTAGAAAAGGCAGAGGAACCAGAGATCAAATTGCCAACATCTGTTGGATCATAGAAAAAGCAAGAGAATTCCAGAAAAACATCTGCTTCTACTTCATTGACTATGCTAAAACCTTTGACTGAATAGATCACAGTAAACTGTGGAAAATTCCTAAAGAGATGGGAATACCAGACCACCTTACGTGCCTCCTGAGAAACCTGTATGCAGGTTAAGAAGCAGCAGTTAGAACCTGACATGGAACAACGAACTGGTTTCAAATTGGGAAAGGAGTACATCAAGGCTGTACATCGTCACCCTGCTTATTTAACTTATATGCAGAGTACATCATGCAAAATGCTGGTCTGGATGAATCACAAACTGGAATCAAGATTGCCGGGAGAAATATCAATAACCTCAGATAAGCAGATGACACCACCCCCTTATGGCAGAAAGTGAAGAGGAACTAAAGAGCCTCTTGATGAAGGTGAAAGAGACAATGAGAAAGCTTGCTTAAAATGAGACATTCAAAAAACAAAGATCATGGCATCTGGTCCCATCACTTCATGGCAAATAGATGGGGAAACAAATGGAAACAGTGAAAGACTTTTCTTGGGCTCCAAAATCACTGTAGATGGTGACTGCAGCTGTGAAATTAAAAGATGCTTGCTCTTTGGGAGAAAAGCTATGACAAACCTAGACAACATATTTAAAAGCAGAGGCATTAATTTACCAACAAAGGTCTGTGTAATCAAAGCTATGGTTTTTCCAGTAGTCATGTATGCGTGTGAGAGTTGGACCATAAAGAAGGGTGAGCACTGAAGAATTGATGCTTTTTAACTGTGGTGTTGGAGAAGACTCTTGAGAGTCCCCTGGACTGCACGGAGAGCAAACCAGTCAACCCTAAAGGAAATTAGTCCTGAATATTCATTGGAAGGACTGATGCTGAAGCTGAAGCTCCAATACTTTGGCCACCTGATATGAAGAGCCAACTCATTAGAAAAGACCCTGATGCTAGGAAAGATTGAGGGTAGGAAGAGAAGGGGATGATAGAGGACAAGATGGTTGGGTGGGTCACTGACTCAGTGGACTTGAGTTTGAGCAAGCTCCAGGAGATGGTGAAGGACAGGGAAGCCTGAGGTGCTGCAGTCCATGGAGTCACAAAGAGTGGACATGACTGAGTGACTGAACAATTCTTCCCCATGTAAGCCTTCAACTCTTGCTGGTCTAGCCCTGCTCACCTCTCAGCACAGTATTTGCCCACTCACCCATTTCCCCAACATTTATGTTATACCTACTAAACATTGCTGATACGAATGAGTAAGATATCAGATTTTTCTCTTAGAAACATATGGTCTAATGAAGGAGACACATAAATAACTCAGGATGATACACACTGAAGTAATAGCATATGTGTGGTACTGTGTGAACACTGGGAAGGGCAATCCCTCACTCAGCTTGTAGGGAGGGGAGAAGGGACATTTAGATAAAAACAGGGGTGAGGAGGAGCCACTGATTGCAGGAGGGGCAGGCGAAGGTCAACATGGCTGGAGTTTAGAAGCCACGGAGAGCTGTGGTCACACAGACAGGTGAGGCCACGTGAGGAAGGCCTTGTCTATGCTGCTCATTTCACTGTTTGTTTGGTTCTCCGGGTTCCACGTGTACCTGGAATGCTCTTGCTCACATGCCATTCTCCTTGTTGATGCTGAAATCAGTTTTGATGTTTCAGGATGTAATTTCCTCTGCTATAGCTGCTCTGGTAGGACTGTTGCTACCAATAGGCTATAAACCCCCATCTCATGCTCAAGTCTCCGTACCAATAGCAGAGAATAGATATATGTTTCCAACACTTTTATATAAAGATAGATTTCTTGATTATAGCTACAAAATTAATCTGTTTTAAGTTAAAAAAAAAAAACCTAAGAAAAATTGTTTTCTGGGGGGAAAACCCCAAATGCAATGATATATAAGTCCTTGGGGGACTTTCCTGGTGGTCCAGTGGCTAAGACTCTGTGTTCCCAATGCACAGTTTGGTCCCTGATCAGGGAACTAGATCTCACATGCTGCAGCTAAGACCCAGTGTAGCCAAATAAATCAAGTTTTTTAAAAGTCCTTGGAATACCAGGTATCTTTTATTGACTGATTCTCAGTGCTGCTGTTGTTTGCCTTTTCATGGTTAAGGAGGTGTTTATCCTGTCCTCATACCCTCCTTATTTCCTTCACACTAAAGGTCTTCTGGCCCCTTGTCTGGGGAACCAGCCCACTGCACTGAGACAGGAGAGGCTCAGACGTGTTCAATCAGTTGCTGGAGAGCGGGAGCACTGGCCGTGTGGTGGCCAAGTTCTCTTCTTGCCTTTCCAACCAGAAGCTGCCTCTGGCATTTCTTGAGAGGATCAGTCTCTCATGGGAGGAGGGGCTGTAGATGAGCCTGGAGAGGCCAGGGTGATGGTGGTGGCATAAGGAATGAAAGGCTCTTCTGTCTGTTCCACTGTTGTTCCAGTGATTTTCTGTCTGCTTCCCTCAGTTATATGGATTGTAGCATGGTCCAAATTTTGGACCTACTTCCCCCCTGTCTGAAAGAAAAAAGATTATTTTTCAGAATAGTGTTTCAATACTCTTCCTTTCTCTTAAAATCTATCAGACTTTACTAATAGACTTTAGAGTTTCAAAACCCAAACTTAGGATAAAAGATGAGCAAGTATTTGCTTGTTTGGACAGCCCTTCCATTTCTATATCTTAATGCACATAGACCCCACCTCCCCTATGACACCTGTCCTGCCTCTGCCAGCCCACCTTTATTTTTTTTTTCCTTTTTTAAAATCACTGCAGTATTAACTATGTGTACTTTACATTTTGGCATTCAGTTACATAATGCCCTGAGTTATTTAACTGCTCTGGGTGAAAGTCTTGTCCTTCTAGGGATAAAGACTGTTGGGAAGAAATGAGTATCTCTTTTTCTTGTCTACCCCCCAAATCAGTTCCCACAGCCCTCTGCACATTGGTGTGGTCAGGGTAGGTGTTGAACACACTCTTGTTAGAAATGAAATTAACCCAATATATGCCATGGTTCCACCTTACTAGCCCTGTGATGGATACTAGCTTTGTTCACTCTTCTCTCTCTAAAGGAAACTAAAGATAAGATCCTGATGGTGAACGAGACAGAGTTTACTCTTAAATCTGCTAGCTAGATTTCTTCAGATTCTGGCTGTACCAACTCACTTCATATTTAGAAAGCCTTCTTCAAGCCAGTGCAGTGAAGGGAGAAAACTAGCAACTATAGACAAGAGGCAAATACACTCTATCTTTTACAGGTTGTATGAACTTGGACAAGCCCTAAGCCTCTCTAAGCCTCAGCTTTTTTCATATGTGACTCAATAAGACCTACACTGCCTCCCTCCACCTGCCTTCTAGGGATGCTTTAAAACTCAAACAAGCCTCTGATATGACATTAGCATACTCTGTAAACCAATAAAGTTCTATATTAACATCAGAGATTCTTACATCAGTAACCCTACTGTGGATAACATTTATTGCTTACTGAGCTCTTATTTTGAGCATTGCTTTCAGATCCATCCTGCATTGTCAACTCATATAATGCTCACAACAATGTTATGATGTAAAAACTATTGTCCCTATTTTGCAGATGAAGGAAATGAGGCACAGAGCGTTTCAGTAGCTTACCCAGGACCCAGTGATAGCACTGGGATACAAATCCAGGCAGCCTGGCTCTGAGTTCTCTATGGCTGCTGTGAAGAAGGAAAGAGGGATGGGGTGATGGGTTATGAGAGTAAAGGTCAGCTAGTAACTTATGACCATCTTTTGGGGCAGCAAACAAAGGAGAAGGTGAAGCTTCTGATTCAGCTGGCTGATAGCTTTGTGGAAAAAGGTCACATTCATGCCACAGAGATCAGGAAATGGGTGACCACAGTGGACAAGCATTACAGAGACTTCTCATTAAGGATGGGAAAATACCGGTACTCCCTGGAGAAAGCCCTAGGAGTCAACACAGAGGTAGGTATGGGGGTTCCCAGGTGGGACATCTTCCTTTCCCTCTCCCTCAGTACTGCCACTCCTCACTGTGGAAGGAGTTTGCAGAGGAAGCTGGGATTGCAGAGGAATCTTCCTGAGCTGTTGACACCTAGAGCTCTTGTCTTGTGTGGTTTTTCTCCTGGATGGGCTGGATCTTGCTGGTACTTCCAACTCCCCATGACTGGTACTGTGTATATTGTAAAATTGTCTGGCCAGGAGTGGGGCCTATGGCTACAGAACAGAGTTTTTCTATGTGTAGAATTAACTGTTGACTTTGAGGATTAAACTCCTTATCTTGGCTTCATCAGTACTGTCTTCCACCCAATTATGTTGACCAGCAAATGATTAGAGTCCTCAGTATGTATAATAGTGCTCTTTTAAGAATAAGGGATGCAATTTGTGTAAAGTCTATTTGACATTTCAACTGAAAAGAGACACTCTTTGCCAGGAAGCAAAGAAGACTGACTTTTTAATCTCTTCTTTATAATAAGGGTCAGTAACCTATGAATTAAGAGCTAAATATAGGGTGGCAATTTAATCCTAGAATTTCTAGTTCTTAAATCTTTAAATAGGCTCATACTCTGAAACAGAGAATAAAGTGGTCAAACCACTAAAATTGGGGGGAATTAACGTCTCCCCCAGGCTTTAACCTATGAGCTTTTTTTCCGAGAGGTTTTCATCCAATATAAATACCAGACAGTGGTTGAAGTAAGCAGGAATGGGCAGTTAGAAAATTCAGTAATCGTTCTGTCATTTAGCTTTCTATTTCCAGAGAAGTTGTTTGTTTAAATAAAAATATTTACTTTTATTACTTTCCCTTGACAGATGGAAGTTTTCTTCTGTATTTATGCATTTCTGTTTCACATCTGTTTTAATGGTTAATAATCAACCTTGGACCAATGTGTGTGTATAGATCTAAACAGAGCAAAGTCCTTGGGGAAATATGAGACTAATTATCAAATGTGTTCATTCTTTTCCTTTGTTGTAGATATTAGTCCTAAACATTTGACCTGAACATTTTATATTTTTCTTATTTGGAAAAACATTATGAAGAATTTTTTTGAAGAATTATGAAGAAGAGTGTTTGTGGGTGGCAGTTGGTGGGATTCCCCATCTTCTTATCCTTCTCCATTATATCTTTCTCTGTTCTTCCTGTCCCCTGCCTCCCCTAACTCTGATGAGTTGCTTTCCAGAACATCTCCAAGGTGACCTCTGTGATCTGTTGTGTGTAGGATAACAAGGACCTGGAGCTGGACATCATCCCAGCAAGCCTTTCAGATCGTGAGGTCAAGCTCCGGGATGCCAACCATGAGGTCAATGAAGAGAAGCGGAAATCAGCCCGGAAAAAAGAGTATGTTTGTGTGTGCATGTGGGCAGGGGTTGGAGGCAGTTTCTGCTTGACTGGCAGGTTCCTCATGGCTGTGCTTGGTTTTCACTGCCACCCATCACTTTAGACTAGCTGATGTATCCTCATGACCACCTACAGAGGTTGGGGTGGACAGACGGGATGCTTCCACCCACATTTCACGCTAACCAAGAACCGTAGGGCATTGGAGAGAAGAAACAATGAACAACTGTACAAACCAAGTCTTGCCACTCTGCCTCCTTAACATCGGTGTTACAAAGTTACATATAGCCAGAGATAAGCGCACACTTTATGAAGAGCATCTTGACAGAGTCCTTTCAGGTAATGCTGGAAAAAAGTGTGTTCTAAGATTAAGAAGTCTTCTGTAGTTGATTTTATCAAAATAAAGTAGGACCACAGGTCCCTTAGAGCTTAAGAAATTCAAGGTAGTCTGTGAAGTCAGAGCTTGTGTTTTATCTGGGAGTGTAGTAGTTTGTTTGGGCTGCTGTAACAAAGTATGATGAAATAGATGCTTTTAACAACAGGAATGTATGGTCTTACTGTTCTGGAGGCGAGAAGTCTGAAAGTACGGTGTTGTCTGGGTTGGCTCCTTCTGAGGGTTGGGAGGGCAGCCTCTCCTCCAGGCCATTCTCCTGCCATGTGGATGGCTGTCTTCACATGCACATGGCATCCTCTCTGAACACAGGCCTGTGTCCAGATTTCCCCCCCTTTTAGGGATACCAGTCATTTTGGAATGGGAGCCCAGCCTATGCCAGTATGACCTCATCTTAACTAACTGCATCTGCAATGACTCTATTTCTAAATAAGTGCCACATCCTAGGGTACCGGGAGTTGGGACACAACGTATGCATTTTAGGGGAGACACAATTCAACCCATAACAGGGAGGAAAATGAGGAGAGAGTGTGAGGGCAGATCTTCCTGCTGGGCTCTCTCTGGGACTCCAAATCACCAGAGGATGGTAAAGGTGGATGGAAAGTAAAAGAAAATGGGGTAGAGAGTAGTGAAGCTATATTATGAAGAAAAACAGGAAAAACTGTAGGAAGTAGGAGGAGAAAAAAGGAGAAGATAGAAGCTTGCCAGAATCCAAGGCAGTAAAATCAAAGACAACTTTTCAAAGCACGTGGAATTATGTTCCTTCTGATCTTCCTTCTTTCCCTGTTTACCAAGCACTTACAGTATTCTAGGAACTTTGCTTACATGAGCTTGTTTAATCCTTGCAGCAGCCCTTTGTGATCAGCTGTGTTACAATTGAGTAGTCTGGGGCTTAGAGAAGCAAGACCTGCCTCTAGGAAACAGCAGTCATGATTCAGTTCCTGTTTCTGACTTCAAAGCTCATGGACTTTCCATCTACCAATAGAGCAAGAATAGTAAGAGTATAGCTTATTAACTCCTCCGAAAGGAAATTTTTATACTTTAATGGAAAGGCCACTGCTAGAACAATGTATTGCTTTAAAAAAAAAATCATGACGATAAAGGTCCAGGACAAAATGCTTCTTATTGTAACATTTCTTGTGAAATTTCCAACAGGGAATACTCTGTGGATAATCTTTCTCTGAATTTTTATCTGATGTGACACATTGTAAATAGAAATTTTCATTATAAAGTACCACACAAACAGAGACATAGATAATCTAAAATAAATGTATAAAAATATACTTTGTGCTAAATCAGATACCATTGCACATCACAAACCAGCTAGGAAGGACCTTTTATAATCAAATTTGTGAAAGACGCGGGTACACTGCAGTGAAGCCTCACGTCATTAAGTTTAATGTCTGCCTGGGAGCGATGTGTTGTTTAGGAGTCCAGGGAGAAAGGAGCCCTCCTCTTGCAAATGTGTGGCACAGGCTTCTCTTCTGGGGAGAGTGAAGAGCAGTCACTTGACACTGTTAGCTTGTGCTGTGGCTGGGATCACCCACTCAGCCTCAGGCACAGTAGTTTGCAATGTAAAATAGTCCCTTTGGAGGCCAGAGGTCAGCATACTATGGCCTACAGGCCACCTGTTTTATATAGGCTATAAACTAGAAATTATTTTCTACACTTTTAAATGGTGAAAACTATCAAAGCAAGAATATTTTGTTACATAAAAATTAGAGGAAATTATTTTCTGTTCATAAATAATTTTATTGGAACACAGCCAGACATTTCTTTTTAACATATGCCTGTGGCTTCTTTCACATCCAACAACAAAACTGAGTGCTTGTGACAGAGACTGAATGACCCACAAGTAGTTACTCTCTGGTTCATTACAGATAAGAGTTTGCTAACCTTTCTGACTTTTAAACCTGGTTTAACCTGTGGAACTGTGAACCATTTTGGTGTAAGTCAGCAATTCTACTGAGTAGGAATCAGCATTCTGGGAGCTACAGTAAGAGAAATGTAGGAAGCTGAACTGGTGTCTAGTTGGTGAGAATGAGTGTGAGTGGTGCTGCATGCTTGTGCCCACACACACATGTGCAACTGAGAGCACACAAATATCAGCACAGAATCACAACCTGGTAGAACTGAGGCAGAAAGGAGGGGGGTAAGTGTGGAACTTGCTGAGCACAAGCTTACTGAAGGGACACAGAGCAAGTGATCAGAGTGAGAGCGACTCAGAGGAAGAGATTTATGTAAGTAAATTAGAAATATAGGACATTCAAGAATGTGATAAATGCTTGGGTGGGGGCAGTGAAGTTTGAAAGAAGGGATGCATTACCTCTCTAACCAACTGAAAGCCCATTTGTTTCCTTCTAGATTCATTATGGCAGAATTGCTCCAGACAGAGAAGGCTTATGTGAGGGACTTACACGAGTGCTTAGAGGTAAGTCTTGTGGTCATCAGTTCTCAGCTGTGTTAGAAAATGGTGTCCTTGCCACGTCTGGTACTGGAGAGGAGCTCAGTACTCTGTCTTATCCGAGCTTGAAGAATTAAAAACCAGCCAGAGCACATCTTTCCCCAAGTCAGTAATAATTGCATGAGAGTTAAACGTGCTTTGGAAAACAAACTTTTCTCAGATTGGAACTAGACCCAATAAAAGAAAGCATGTAAGGAAAATGAATTCAAAATAAAATCCATGACACAGTCAATGAACTTAAATCTGGAAATCTGCATCTCCCCCCTGACACACAGTCAAACTCAAAACATATTTAATAAATAAAAGTATGGAGTTTGTGCTGTTGCTAGGATGAATTTCCTTAACAGCAGATCAAGATAATAGAACATTCAGGTTTTCTTTCTTTTCATTCTGCTTATTTACCATCTCACTTTTTAAGCTCTACATGCATCTCTACTCTGACCCTTACCCCACAAGTTTTTAAGGCATATTTGTTTTGTATGTATTTCACATGGCAGTGCTTGCCAATGATGGAACTGTTGCTGTCTTACAGACCTACCTGTGGGAAATGACCAGTGGTGTGGAGGAGATCCCCCCTGGGATCCTTAATAAGGAGCATATCATCTTTGGCAACATCCAGGAGATCTACGATTTTCATAACAAGTAGGTTGGTGGAGGGTTTCAATGGAGTACACTTACAGCCATAAATACCCAACAACAAGGCTTCCCAACAAGTGGACCAAAGTTGACTGGGAATTCTCTCCCTGTAAAGTAGTGCCTGTTAAATCTCTAAATCAGTGGCTGTCAGATTTCTTTCTCACTCACCCCTCTTTCTCCACAGTGGTCCAAAATTCCTAATGGAGGGTGAAGTCAAATGTTCAAGAGTGTCCTAACCTAACTGCCAGTATCCTCGGACCGAATCAAAATGATAGGCGAGCTTGAGAAAGTAAAAGTAGCTTCTCTTTATTAAAACTCTGGGTAATCCTGATATTAGAATTCATCTGAGGTTAACCATCTTACTTTGCAGGCCTTAGGTTTCAAGTTCCATTGATGTTTTCTTTTGACCTAAATATTCCCTCCATCCCTAACTACCTCATCATCCCCACCCTCAACCAAAACAACAGACAGATTGATAGATACCTAATCAAATTATCTAATAGAATATATTTCTTGACAGTTTATAGGGGAGAACATCAATTAACCCTCTATGTTTTGTTGAAATAAGTAGAATCATAGAGCCCTAAAACCTCACAACTCACTTCTTCCAGCTCCCAATCTGATTTAAACATCTTTTCCATAGCATACTAAACATATTCAGTTGTTAACAAAGGGTCAGCAAGCACACTGGTTGGTTAGATTACATATCCAGCTATGGAAAAGCTCAGTTTCCAATGTACAAATGGAGGGAACCTTGAGAAATAATGTTGACAAAAAGTCCTAGAGCTCTCTCAGGACCCTGTTGCAAAGAAGGGCTAACGTAGAGGTTCAGAGTTGTAGCATACAGTATAGAGGAAGTCTGAGGGTCAGGCTAGTCAAGGCTTTGACTCAATGAAGTGGTCATGCTGGAGATGAAACTGCAAGTGCACCAGGGTGGCAGTCCCTCTGAGGCAAGACTAGAATGGCACTGTGCCTTAGAGCCGTCAGTACGGTGGGAATGTTTTGTCTCTGTGATGTCCAATACCGCAGCCACTGGTTATGTCTGCTCAGTGAACACATGATGTGTGATTAATGCTACTGAGAACTGCATTTTCAACTTCATTTAATAAGTATAAGTGACAAGTGGCTAATATATGGTACGGCCCAGCTCTAGAGAATGAGACCTCATTCTTTGCTAAGAATGACCAAAGGCAAGTGTGTGTGTTCAGTTGCTCAGTGGTGTCTGACTCTTTGCAACTCCATGGACTATAGCCCACCCGACTCCTCTGTTCATGGAATTTTCTAGGCAAGAATACTGGAATGAGTTGCCATTTCCTCCTCCAGGGGATCTTCCCAACCCAAGGATCAAACATGCATCTCCTGCACTGCAGGCTGATTCTTACTGAGCCACCTGGCAAGTAATAGTTGGATATAAAAGGATGCTGAGCCCTAAAAGATCTAGAAAGCGGGTGAAGAGGCACTCCTCTCATCAGCACCTGATGATTAATCCCCTGTAAAGTCATCAAATGGCATTAGTTTAAAGAAAACATGAAATATGTAGCTCCCCTGTCAGATTATGAAAGCAGTAAGCTCCAGGGTGAAAAGACCTTTTGACTTTCTGGAGTACTTGATAAAAGTTCCTAGTCTTTTTTTTTTTAATCCAAATTTTTATACTCTCTATATGTTTTGTCTGGAAATCTCCAGCGACAGCAATACTTTCTCCTCATGTCTATTTAATAAGATCCCAATAAAGCCATTCTTGACCACTGACCCCACATTCCATCATCTGAGCTCAGTTGAGTATTATCCCATCTCCCTAGATATTTGGGAAGATATCAGCCTAAAAAGCAGTAAGTCATGTTACTTTTCTTATCTGATTTATGATCTCTGGGATTTAGTCAGAAGTCTCACTTTGCTCATATTCTTACCAAATTGGCAAGGTATAGAATATAGAGATCACTATATGCACTTCCTGTGAGCCTTGTTTTTGCCAAATCAGTGTATAAGCAGAAAGACTCTTCATTTCAAAATTGACCAATTGTAACACAACATCTGGGCTTCCTGATGGCTCAGCGTTGAAAGGATCCACTTGCCATATAGGAGACATGAGTTCAATCCCTGGGTTGGAAAGATCCCCTGGAGAAGGACATGGCAACCCACTCCAGTATTGTTGCCTGGGAAATCCCATGGACAGATAAGCCTGGTGGGCCATGGTCCCTGGGGTCATAAACAGTTGGACACAATTTAACAACTAAATAACAGCAGAATATCTAGCATAACCTTGCCTTATTGTGGTTTAAAGGTATCAATCCAGTAAATCAAGGCAAGTGGTTTGGTAGTCTATTTAAAAATCACTGAAGATCTACCTACCAGTTACAAAATAGAGTTCTAAGAACTCCATAAAATAGAAAAGTCAAGTTAAGCCATAGGAATATTGCATTTTGTAGAGGAATAAATTCAGTGATTAAGAACACAGCTACCCAAAAAACATTACCTATTTATAACATTATAAGAAACAAGAAGAAAATAAAAACCAGCCTCTGAGCAACCAAAAGAAATATCACAAAGATAAAGTTCTTATCTTTCCAGAGGAACTCCTTCTTGCCTTCCATAGGTGAAGTGAAGTCGTGTCCGACTCTTTGCAACCCCATGGACTGTAGCCTACCAGGTTCTTCCATCCATGGGATTTTCCAGGCAACCTTCTCTATTTCTTGGTTAGATTGTTTCCAAGCCCATAGCAATTTAGAAGCAGCAAATAAGAATCAAGAATTTGAGCAAGTAGCTTGATATCAGTACCTGACAGGAAAGAAAGATAAACTTCCAAAAAAGAGTCAGAAGAACCCAAAAGATCAAGGTAGTCAAGAGCTATTCTCCATTGGTGCAGATGATCCTATGTCCCAATATAACCCAATATAGAGCCCAACAGAGCCACTGTATTATGATACAGCATAATAATATGTTATTATATTAGTAATAACTAGTAATGAATCATTGGCATATCCTGCATGAAAAAGCAAGGAACTTGTAATGCATTTAGAAAGCTATCCACAAAAATATGTTTTAAATAGTCCACGATTGAGGGGAACATGCAAAAAAATCAAGCTGTTTATTAATTCCCAGTAGGATCTAGAGGACTTAAGACTTTATTTACTCATAATATGTGCTTTCTTTTCATGTCATACAAAATTTGACTAATGTAGAAAGTATAACCCTCTAAAATCTCTAACTAGTAATATTAAAAATGGCAATTAAGCCAACTTTGAAAATGCAGAAATTGTGAACTCCATAAGAGGTCATGTCTTTCACTGCATAACCCCAATGCTTGGCACAAGGTAAACATTAAGTAAGTATTTGTTGTGTGGATGAGTGGATGGATGGGCTAAAAATAGAATTAAAATTTGCAGACTTATGGCTAATGCCATTCAAGTCATAATTCACTCTTGTTTATGAAAATCTCAAGATAACGGAAAATCATTATTTTTCTTCACCACTGTCAGAACCTTCTAGACAAGCAAAACATTTGCATGTCTAAATGAAGGAGTTTCCTGGGTACTTCTTATTGGGAAGACCAGGCAATTGTCCAAACTCTAGTTTCCTCTTCAGGAATACTTTTCTGAAATGGTCACTTTTTAACCTAAACATATCAAAAAGTTCTTTTTAACCCCAGTTGCTTGCATCTTTTCAAATTTATAATTAAGTGCTATCTTACAGAGAAACAGACTCCTCTGATTTCTAGTGCATAGCTCAGGTTCTGTGCTTCTTCTCCATAGAGAGAGTGAGGGAAAGAGATTGGGAGGAGGAAGACTGGGGACAGAGACTGAGAGGCAGAGGGACTGAGATGGACCCTGCCTACATAGCCACATCAGCTGAGGCACTAGGAAATTAGTGTCTAGACCAAAGGTGAATATATTAAATAACTCAGCTAGTTAATATTGATCCTTTTAAATGATGTCACTTTGAAAAATGACAGTCAAGATTGGTTTTAAGTGTGTGTGACCTTTCTGTAGGAGCTTTATCTCTATACGTATTGAATGGAGAAGTTCCCAAATACCAAAATTTCTGTAAAGAAGAACAATTCATATATGTAGAATTTAATAGTTACAAGTAGTGATGTTAACACAAATTGGAGGTTTAAGTGGAGTGATACTTGGTTTTTACCTACTGGTCTCCCTACGTTGATACTGCATCTCATATCTATAGAACTAAAGATAAAGATCATGGCACTTATCTACTCAAAACCTAGATCTATTTTTTGCATTTTGTTAAGCATTCTGGGAGTATTCAGGAAAGGTAATAAATGCCGTAAATAGATCTCCCCAATGGTGATGGTTTTGTTAATGCTCTTTCCCCACTTTGACTGGCCTACAGCTTGTAATGTGGGAAAATCATTCGTTTTCAGTTTGCCTTGTCTTAGATTTTCAGCTTCAGTAAGGACAGCAGTTTGTTTAAAATGTTCATCTCCTTTGGTTAAATCTGAACTTACTTTTTCCCTTTCAGTTTTTGGAGATATGGCTATATGTGAGTCTGGGCAATAACATTTTTATAAAATCTCTGTTGTCAGGGATCAGAAGGTCTTCCTGAGCATCAAGCAAAATCATCTCCACTGACAGATAAGGGCCCTGAGACCCAGAGAGGGCCCAGTGACTTGCACACTTGGTGACATTTCCCCATTGACCAATTAGGCATAGCTTCCAGGGGCTGGGGCAGTCCCTTTCTCTCCATAGACCACGGCTGGCGCTGCCAAGTCTGGTTGCTTTGGTTCATATCTAACCAGTTTCAATGTGCATCCTCAAATCTCAGGAACACTTCAACCCATTTCTTCCCTAGGTGTGTCATCCAGGTCACACACCCTTACAATAATGGCCTGAAATGAAGAGGTTTGGGAGTGAGTCTCAATCCTGGGTCAAGGATGGGGGAAGGTACAGACGTCACACTCCCAGTTGGACTGTGTCTTGTCACATCTGCTCCTGTGAGACTGAGGCACAAGAGGGGCAAGGTGGTGGGTGGAGGTGGTGCAAGGCAGAAGT